TATATATATAAGCCACTCACGCGAAAGCAAGCAAGACAATGGCTGCAAATGATGGTAAAATAAATCGTTGATTAATGTGATGACAACACAGAAATCTGCTCGCGCGCAAATAATGAGAAACAAGTTGTGACGATGATAAAAAAAAATGGCGCTTTTGCTAAACAGACGGAATAAAAGTATGATCTAATCAACTATGGTAAGGTCAACTGTGAGAAACAGTGGATAAGAAGTGATTTAAGAAAGGTGAGCGCTCGCCTGATGCATTAGAAAGCGCAGTTGTCGTTAATGTCGCGGTTGTCTCAACGATAGTCGCATCAGATTCAATACGTGGAATGAAAAATTAAAAGGGAAAAAGCCAAGATAAGAAAAAGAAGGTGCAGTGTATAAAATATACAGAAAACAGTAACTGCATTAAAAGTATAGTGTTTTTATCTATGTGTTTTCTTTTATCTTGGAAAAGCTGAAATTTCTTTCATTAGCAATATATGCGAGGTGAGGTAAAAGTATATAACCTGAATCTAAAGTTATCTGATCAAAATAAAAAGTGATTTCTTTTTTTAATTGGAAGGCTATTCTTCTCTCATGTATTGACAAATGTCGTAGCCCACTGTAACCATACTTTTGCCTCGCTATACACATATATAAAGAGTATATTTATGAAGAAATGTTTGCTATGATGGCTTAGCGTGTAGCTTTAAATAAGTTTATAAGTAAACGCTTATATGAGATACTCAACAATTCAATTTGTACCCGCGCTGATTCCTTTCAAAATTGTTTTTTTTTTTCATCTCTGTTATTGGTCTTATTTTGCTGATGTGCTACTTTTATTGTACAAGAAGCTTTCATGTTTTTCCGAATTTTACTGCCTGTACGACTTTTTTTGTAAAGTAGTGTAGCTGATACAGGTTCAAGCAAAGGTTTGTGATTCTAATGCCTGTCGAATATAAAACTTGCACTGAAAGATTCAAAAGTAATTTTTGGTAGCTAGAAGCGTGCAAAAGCTGGGCTTTAAATACGTATTAAGGATATCTCCAAGTTCTCAAAATGGGCTGATTCGGCTATAAAAAGATCTCTTCTAAAAAAGTTAAAAATATCTGTTACGTATACATGAGGTGGTTTTTGCCACTAAAAATAACAAAGATAGGAATTTTTCCAATAATGGTAATTTTAAAATACATCTACTTTTTATTTTTCATTTATCTATTCAAAGATAATGTGCACATTATTTATTTCGTATATATATGTATATATTTACATATATATTATACTAGTGGCAGAATAAATATCTGGTATTAATAATCGTACTGATAATAATGAACATTGGTAAGAAATAGGTTTTTAAGTCTGTTTCGCACGAAGGAACGTCTATAACGGCTGGGGATAAGATACAGATATCAAATGTCACATGTTTCTCCATAATTTCCCTATTTATCTAGATTTAGCTTTCATAAATTGGCGCAAAATGTTCGTATCGCATCCCTAAAGTCGACTCTTCGTTACCAGCTTAGTTTTTTACGCCTCTATTGGTTACAGATTTAATTTGGCATGTTACAAAGCTCGATCCGATTTAAGTACCGCTTGTTCTAGTTCAATCATCCACTGACGATGGATGAGCACGCACAGAAAATCACTCAATTATTTAAGGTGGCAACAATACGTGAATGCCAATCTATTTCACGTTAAAGTATCACGGAATATTTTACGAATCACAGCAAACACGAAGCGCTTATTTCTTACCACGTTGACGTGTTGCTTAATTGCTCGAAGGATCGCACCGTGTAGGTTACTTTGTTTTTATCTAGAAATGATTTCACGACGACATCGACTGTTTTTATTATTAGCTTTAATATTACAGTTTATTCATGTGCTTGGGTTGCACATTTAATGAATTTCACATGAACTTTAAAAAAGAAAGCTTCAGCGTTTTTTGAATGGACTCGGTATGTACGTGACAATCTTCGTAAAGCGTGCTTTATATAAGGCCAGTACTAAATCAGGGATAGTTAAGGACACTAACTGAGCAAAGTTTCGATAAGAGTGTTCCCGTTAATAATGGCTGTTGTCAGGACGACAAATTCCATTGAGCAATCATCTTGCTGAGACAACCACCTGGAATAAACCAAAAGCCAATCAAGGAAATATGCCGATTTTTTTGATTGCCTTTTTTCGTTGTCAATATCATATTAATCAGACATCATTAATATGTCTCGTAAAATAGCCATAGGATCGCATACGTGCGCCGGTCATAAGTCAGCGAAATTTGGAACGGGATTCCTACCTATAAGTAACACTTATATCTTCCTTTTTTTTTACTAATTTGAAATAGCACATTGATACGCGTTGCGCTTTATCAGGAATAAACAAAACACATAAGCATTGCATAGCAATGAATACGAAATATGATAGCCGAAATATGGTGAAATAGATGAGCAGTCTGCTGTGGCGAAATCAGAGCTTTTCTTAAATCATCATGTTGAACTACTGCACCTGAGTGCGGCAATTTCGGCGAATGTGCATCCACCAATGAAAACGACAAGCGCCAGCTTCTTCTCTTCAAGTCCAATTCCGGATTGAAGTGAATCCCGTGAACCTCGCCTCTGAAGCTTAGCTGTAGCAGCCACCTGCAGCTCTTCAATAGTTGCCCCAGGCAAGACCTAGATAATGAGTGTTTAGGATGAGCACTTGCTTAGAATGAACTACAAAAATGCGCTCCGATGAAGTGTGTATTAAAAAGTAACATACAAATGTACTGGAGTATCCTACGATGAACGAAGCCATTTATTGTGATCAATTATACATCTAACTAACCTCAAGTACATCGGTAATGGCTCTCCATCCTGGTGTTCCGTAAAACTGTAAGAGGCGGACACTTAGCGGGGCGTACATTTGGTGAACGAAGGTAATGTCGGTTGGTTCTATTTCACCCGCGTTGTCCAAGGTTAATTTGAGCGTTTTTAGCATCATTCCATACCTGGTAAATGTTAGAAACGTGTTAGAACTATCGTCGAACTAGCTCGTTTTGCTGCAGTTAAAATTTCCGTTGAGAGTTACAAATCAATTCGCGAATTAAATACACAATCTAACACACACCTTCAGCATGTCATTCATCATTACTTACGAATGTTTGAATTGAAGAGCTGTAGGAAAGAATTACCAAACATTTCATTAGAGCAGACACGCTGCAGAGCAAAATTTAATTTAATAGTAATAACTGCGATTAAATGCGCCTGTGATTTGAGCATTCAAACTAAAGCGTTTGAACGAAAATTATCTATCATCTATATGTGTCTGTGTAGTGTGTGTTCAGCAAGTTCTTTTGAAAAATGCGCGCGTAATCACTTCGCCTCTTGCAGCCTTCTATTTTTGATGGTTATAACCTGCCAAATCTGCAAAACCATATGCGCTTATAAAAAATATAGAAGAATAACACACTAAAATGGAACACATTATTAACGCATGTCACACTTGAAGGTGGGGTTGTATACGTAATGATAGGTAGACAAGTTTGATGAGCTACATGCCATTGGTGCTCTTTTAATTCCCTAGGAGCATCTCACAATTCTGTAACGTTAGACACGTCTAAACCCTCCAAAACAACATCACATACGGCAGAATGCGTGCTGACGCTTGCAGACCAGTTGGAAGCACGCTCTTATCCAATAAGAATCAAAAATACACACCCCTTCTGCGATCCCTGATAAACACGAAGTAGGCCACACGTTTCTAGATTTTTTAACAGGATGAGCTTGTCAACACCGTACTGCTGAATAATCTGCAAAAATAAAATTATCAGCAACGACATCAATTGCGTCGAAAGTTTACTACTGCGAAGGTCCGCACACTAGAAAGAAAACTTGCTGACCACTGAAATTAAATAGCAACAAGTTCCCGTAGTAAACTGTTTCCTTAAACTATTTAGTCGGCCTAACTTTAATAACGATTAGATGGATTCTGTCACTAGAACAATTTCGTGTAACGTACGTGACGTCTTATTTAAAAAAAATGTGACTCCTTCTGTATTATCAAATATAAACACACCCGTACCTCACAAAGGAACTGACAGGCTCAACAAACCTTTAAAGAAAGAAAGCTGCTTGACGCAGTCTTATATATACATGTATATGCGTTTTTCGTTTCAACTATAAAACTTACTATTATACTGTTAGGTTTGCCATAAATTGAATACCTCACGTTTATAGTGCTCGAGCACTTTGGGTCGAAGTCCATTTGTAGTCAATGAGTGCATACAGATGAGACGGATAACCTAATGCAAACAATAAAAAAATTAAAGCTGAATGGATTGCTGAAGCAGCTGCTAGGGAAATTACCTCAACGAAAATCGAGATTATCAACCAATAAGAGCGGCTAATTTTTAGGCCTCACCTTTCTTTTGTAGAACAAAGGTTTCGTTTGACTTAAATCTCGTTATACAGCGAAATGTCCTAGCAGCGGTACCACGATTTCAGACATAGGCATTTCAAGTTAAATGCTACTAGATTTCGGAATTTGCTGAAATCTCGTGGTCCGTCCCGAAATTGCAGAAATGATGTTTGGGTAGAATTAAGCTTTTATTTCAATGAATAATGTTAAAGTAAATTACGTGTCGCAATACAGAAAAACAAGCAGACCTTAATGAGGGGTCCATCATTGACGATGAAGTCTTCAATAAACGAATGTGGCTGGTCGGCTGTAGCATCGCCTCGAAGGAATTCTTGTTCACAGAAAATTGTTTCCGTGAACAACGGCTGCGAAATGTGCTCCTGAACTAATTCTGAAATCGTACAATCTACAAAACAAAGCATATGTGTACATATTTGAGACACATTTATTGCTATTATTATACCATTAATACAAATTATTTTCTAACCCCTCTAAATATTGTGCCAAATGGAGTACAGGTTTATAAACTCAAATATGTTTGACGCTAGCATAAAAGGACGAAAATATGAACTATGATTGGCGCTGTGGGATAATTACGTTTAGACAGGCTCTTTTTTGTTTCGACAATTTTCGGCAGACGGCTGACGAAGTCTCTCAACTCTGGTAACCCTATTGCTTCTTTATGTTCGGCTTCTTCTTTACTCAGCTGTTTTGCTAGACGACTCAGCTTACCGCACACCTGCACAAAATACCAAACGAGATCTGTCACTGCCCATTTTATAGCGGAAACTTGATTCGATTGTATCAGAACCTGTTTTGAACGATAATCATCTTTCTTGTACTATTCTTCATTCCCCAAAGAACAGCTAACGTTGCCAACAGTAAGCTTTCATACATAGGTCAGATATAATCTATAACTTTGAATCTAACAATGATCAGTGTTAATTCGATAAAACTAGACAGATACGAACAGCTGTAAAGCTTATATCTCTGAGTTCAACGAAAAGGTCCTCAGATGAATTAAGAACAAACTTGACTCTTCCGTCGGCGTCTCGATTTGCCAGTTCCTCCTTAAATTTTTGGCCCGGCAAGCTAATTATGTTATTGCGAATTCCTGCAAGAAATTAAACGAAAACAAATGTATGGTAAATTATGCTGTATTAGAAATGAGGGTCGATAAATATTCCTTATCACTATATTTCAACTTTTACGCCCGGTAGGTTAGATTTCCAGCACAAAACAAAGTATGTCTATACGCGGATTCGAGCACACGGATAGAACAACTACAAGCTATCAGAGGGACAGTATTCCTTATCTAAGTGCTAATTTGTCTCGTTTAGTCATATTGTTTGCAAAGTTTGTAATAATAATAATAATAATTGAATTATTATCATCGTGATATGTTTCCATTGCTGCACACAGGTATGAATCCCTAACGAATGTTATCAGTGGTACAGAAAAAAGAATAAAGTATTTCGAAAAATTAATTTTCTTTGCCTTCACATCAGTCTATAATATATATACATTACATATTATTTAATTTCCTCTGTCCTTGATATAGAAATAACATGTGATTGTTATAGTAGGTTCCATTTCATAACCATCGTATACCATAAGTATACAAACTGAACACCATGTCACATTTCCCTTCTGTACGACCATTGATTTCAGATTAAAAAAAAATGGGTTAAGGTAAGGAATCGAAATTTCTATCTCTATCTTGCTTGTCTAGCGTTGTAGTGTCTCTCTCATCTCTTTGTAACTTGCTAGAGCCGCCTGACCGCCCGCTCCTCGAGCGGCTTATTGTTTTATTTCATCCGTAAAATGCATTCATTCACTTAGTCGGTTCTCGCTTGCTTTTTTCTCTCATCTTGCACTGCGGTGTGCCTGTCTCCCAGGCTAAATTCTAGTATAAGGACGCTCTAAATGGAGGGAGTGCTCTAGTATGTGACGACGAATCGCCTATGCCGCTGCCGGTGTATTACAACAACAGTAATCAGCCGTGGTGGACCATTGTTTCAGTGTTAGCCAATTTGCCTGTTCATTGATAGAACATCGACAACGCTGATAAGTGCTATAACGACATCAAGCGCAGGCGGGCAGTAAATTCTCCCTAACGTGACAAAAACAGTGTGGTTGAAAATTGAATTTCGTTGACAGCTAGAGAAATATCAGTGGCAAAAGGAAAGCACTACAGACAAACAAAACAAAAGACGGTAGAGATAGTTTGCCATTGGTATGTCTCATCAAACAGGCATTGTGCCCAATGAGGCGCTGGCCCGTTTCTTTGCTAAAGCCCGAGATTCTCCGAAGTGCCGGGTGTTCAAAGTGGTTATCGAAACTGAACAGCTTGTCCTACGTGATGAGTTACTCATTCAAAACAACTGGGAAGCTGACTTTGCCAAGTAGGTCCACAAGGTTTTCGAGGTGGGAACCGCACACAATGCTGTAGATTGCAAGAAACTGTAGCAGAAAACGACTAGCAATAAGTCAAAGGATTTTATAAGACAACATACAGATAACTCTAGCATAACCTAAAACAAAATTGGTTTGTTTTTTTTAACTTATTAAGCTACTATTGCTGTGCTCGTTAGTGAGTTTTGTTTTGCATCTTTAAAATGTCTGTACAAATTTTAATCAAATCTCAGTTATTAGAAAAATCGGCGCACTTGTATGGGCATCTCCGGTTCATTCCTGGCAAGACTTTTTCTTGTCTTTTCTTACCGGCTTGTTTGTTTGTATTAATTGTTATTTTCTGTTTTCTTTTAAATTGTTTTATTTTGTTATTTGCAGTTAATCGCTCCTGATGTATTAGGTATCTAATAGACTAAAAGCACGTAATAGCCGGCCCATTAGGCTCGTCAAAGCCTAATGGCATCACAATTACTAACTGGTGTTGTTAAATGTAGGAAAGCATTGGTGAAAATTATCTAGTTTATTAAAAAATACAGTTACACTTTATTTGTATATAGACTTAAGGTATTTTTCAAAAATAACCTTATTCGCTTTCGTCGTCAATATTGAGAAATATTTGTAAAGATAGTATGAGACCCGCATTTGGCATGCCACTGTCTTTCCTCTAAGCACATAAATAGTTTACTAATTGGTCACTATCTCATACAATCCAAAGGTAGACATAAAATCGTACACTAGATGCTTGAGGAAGTGAAGAACAGCCTGGGTCGGCCTCGTCTAGACGATTATTGAACGAATAAACTTGTACCTAGCAAAGCAAGATTCGTTGCCTTGGGGTGACGATATGCATAGCTGCGGTTTGCAGAATACCAGCAGACATCAACACTTGCGGACTTAATTTGCGGTACACTTGTGGAGACCACATCGACCGCAATACTGAAATAGGCGTTACTTTAGCGCACCACGGTAAAGACTCTGTTAAGATTGTCGTGGCAATGTTGTTCGTGACTGCTTGATATGGGAGGTGACCGAAATTTGTATTATTCGATTTATGAATTCTTTTAGCCTAATTCGTGTGTCGGTTGCAGAGACGTACACCGCGTTGTTTTTTACATGCATTTTTAATGCTAATAGAGAGTTTGCCTTTTTGAGGTATTCGTGTATATATTATCGAAGAAAATTGATTATCGTATGAAAGAGGAGCCCTGTTTTCTCCTAAAGCAATGCGCGGAACAGCAAAGACACAAAAATGTAACTAATCAACCTAAACAGAACGAAATTGTTGCTTCTATAGCACCCATTGTACTGGTTTTGTTATGGCAGGGACTAGTAATTTGTTTCCTTACATGACTTCCATACTACTGTCTAAAGTCGCAACAGTTGACAACTAAATCAAGACATTAATAGGGCAACCATTTTGTTGAAAGTACGCCGACCGATCAGATTATTTTGGAAGCAACGCCAGTACAATCCAGCGTAACCCCGTCGGATCACCAAGCAGACGGCATGTCCCCGTAACAACTAGCATCAACTGGAATAATACTACTATGCAGCATCACCCAGCAACAAATTTATCGCCATATCAACTGTGACATCGAATCTTTATCCTAGGTTCCATTGTTGTCACTACACATTCTAGATGTCTATGTATATTTGATGAACTTGCAAAAGAATAAAAGTTACTTTTAACTGTTATTCTTTTGCAAGAAATTCTTTTGACAGTCGGCGCATATCAATAGGAACGCTTTAAAATCGTTGCTTAGGAAAATGTCGATCATTACCTATAGCATAGATGTGAACGGCTTCTGCAGCAGAGCCAGAGGGAAACGGACATAACCTGATCATGCATCTGATCAGTACGCCCGTGTATTTGTGTCATACAAGTCCATTGATACAGTATAAAGAATTTTCTTCAACGTGAAAGCTCTAAGGCAAGAAATTAAAGAAAATAGCCAATAGTAAAACAACAGCGGTTGGCAACCGCTGCTGATCAGTCAATCATTTAGCTTTGTTTGTTGGAGCCGCTTCAGTAGCTGCCGCCAATTTCGTTTCTACTCAACATATAACACTTTACACTTTCGATAGCTGTTAAAAAAACCTTGAGTCGATTGCTTTTGTTTGCTTTTAATGTCTGTAATCGTTATCACCATTGTATGGATAGCTGGTTGTGTTTCAAAGAGGATAGCAGCAAACACAGAATTCTCAACACAGACTGTTTTATTGTTGTGGTCAAATACAACTTATCCACATGTATCACTATGACCAGACGTCAAACAGCTTGAGGAGTCAGTTAGTCCAATATGGCGTTTTATCTGTTAAGTCGTTAAAATCGCCATGTCATCGTTCGTCATTGACGAGTCACAGAACAAAGAAAGACATGAAAAGCAATTAACATACATTTTCAGGTATTATTGATAACCGATACGCCATTGCATTCTCAGATAACCTACATGCACTAAAAATGTAGCCCAATCTTATGTGCAACCTGTTTGAAGATACTGTCCTTTATTATCCATTAGTCATCGTGCTGCGATTCGAATCCGCCGAGATGACTAAAATTTCAAGAATTTGAATGGGTGTGCGATGATACACGTTGGTAAGCTAGAGGTTACAATAGCGTAACAGCAGAACAATAATCTATATATACGTCAGATATAGATCATATTGTTCCGTAAAACAGAATTATGGGTATATAATTAAGAAAAATTGTGTTTTTAATGAGACTGGTGGTAGTTGTACAGCTCGGCGGACTTATTTTGTTTCTAGCGTAACTTCAATTAGATTAATTTGATACGAAACAAAAACGTGTCAACTGCACTCTACTATCCAACAGGGCTGCGACAAGATCTTACAGCGTTGACATAACAGTAGTACTATAGCTCTGTTCTCTTTCAGAATAGAGTCATAGTATCATTCTTAGAGCATCATTTTAACTGTCTACGGACAGCTTTTTACAATGGATTCGATGTACTTTTATAGAACAGTTAAACATTGCAGTTATCTGTTATATGACACTAACTAGCCGACACTGTGTTCTCTTTTTTTGGTCGATTTCTTAATGCACACGTTTGTTTGACATGTAATTTTACGCCAACTCGACGGAACATCGGTGACCTGCTCATGTTAGGTACGTTCCCCAGCTAACGGAGGAACGCCAGCCCTGCTTCTTATTCTTTCGCCTAGATAAACACGGCGAATGGCTTATGATCAGCTTTTCACCTGACGATGCTCCTGTTCGACTCAAGATGTTATACGCTTCGACGAAGGCGACGCTCAAGAAAGCTTTCGCAGTAGATTCAGAGTTTGTCGCCACATCAAAGGTAAAACTTTGTGTTGTAACTTATGCGCTCACTTCCATTCAGTGGTTATTGTTATAACTACGGTATGGTGCATGGGTGCACTTAAGATAATACCCACCACCGACCTGTCTTTCTTCGTACTAATCCAGCCCTTCCACATAATAATAATGGCAGAGTTGTTTGTTCTAGGCACCACGAGGCTCTTCATACGGAGTGTTTTCGTCAGGTTCTAAAAATGACCAAAGTTTATTCTTGTCGTCATCAGGATATATGTTACTTGCTTTATGTATTATGAAAGTATATACGTGATTAGGTGTCGCAATAAATTTGCAGGAAGACGCGACCCTTGCTGGATACGAAGCGCATCTTCGAGCCGAGAACGCTCCTCCCCCAATGACAAACACTGAACGAGAACTCGCCGAGGTGAGTACCACTGCTCGATTGCATGATTTTAAACAATTCTATAAAGCGTACTCAAGTGTGAACGCTTAAAGATCAATTGTAAAAATAATCAAATAAAAAAGCGTTACTTCAGATTTCAATTGGATTAGAAAATTAAGTGGCACCCTGTTTTACGATACGTGTGTATATTTCATTTTCAATATCTTTCTAAGATTATCGATTAATAAACAAATAGTACAACTGAAGAAAATGTTCAGTTTAGGGAGACACTTTACGCAACTTGCTTTTTTACGTTTCAGGTAAGGCTAAATGAGAGCTTTGCCTCGGTGGGGATCGATGCAAAGCAACAGACGCTCAAGGGACTCGAACTGCCTATCTCTGATGAAGCTATTGACGGGTTCTTCTCACTTAAAGAAGGAAAAATTAACTACCTCCAGGTAGGGAGTAAATTTAGATTGATCGGACGAAAAGACTTGTAAATTTACTTGACTAATAAATTGCTAGCATGATTAAATCGAGATAGGTCGACTCTTGTTTCAACGGAGTGATTTTTGCTGAGCATTGTCCCATCGGTAACAACAGGTACAATTATTAAGCCTATCTTTTTTTGTTAGGTGGGTATTGATATTGGCAATGAGCATGTGGTGGTACACGACCGAGGTATGTTGGGCTCTGCGGACGAGCTGACCTCCAGGGTGCCCCAGGGAGAGCCCCGATATCATCTATTTAGCTTTAAACACATCCACGACAACCAACGGGTGAGTAATAAACCCAATACCCATTTTTTACCATTTCGTTGCTGCTCTACCGCGTGTCATAGTCATCGTTATGTGTCGTTGTTTAATAGTTCGTTCAGTTGGTATGGTTCCTTTTAATACTCATCTAGTCAATTAACCAGGCTATCGTATGTGGGCCATCGGTATGGCCAAACACAGATGACATTGCCACACTTCTCCTGTCTATTGAGATGTTGTAAATTGTAGGAAAATTAGCTGTCACTTAATTTCATTCCACACCCATGACGAGGTTTTTGCTAGTGGCTATCACTCGACTTCTGCTTAACAGCAACCCGAGTGCTAGCCAGAATAGGACAAGCATCATGAAAAGGATCCAGTGATATGGTAGCGTCTTTTACTAACCTATCGATCAACCATATTAATACGATGGATGGTATCTTGATGTACAATAATTTGTAAAACGGTAACGCGATATTTAAATGAATAGCATTTAGTAAAAGTGTAAGTAGACGGTTTTAATCGGTCCAGAGTAGCAATATGTGCGTGTTCCTAGCATCTTTATATATACTAAGCGCGAAAACTTATTATGATGCAATTATGATATGCATAGAGAATAGAAGACTATTACCCGGATCTGCTCGGATAAAAAGGCATCAGTGGAATAGCGCCAACAGTAAAAAGAACATGAAGTACTATGCGACTAGAAAGAACAGCCAGATGAAAGGCCAGGTGTTATGTGGGTATCTTGCGAAGCATTATGAATTACACCAAGTGGCTTGCAGCACTTATACGGCGTTAGTCGTTCCCACTCTTCTGAGATAACAGAGTCAGTTGTTTTTTTCGATTCAGATAAAACCTATGGTTATTATTGGCGATAGATAGATTCACAAAAGGCAACACAAACCAAGTTTGGCTTACGTCTGGCCTAACGAAGGCAGAAACATTCCAAGCAATTTTTCGCTAAGGAACGCACACACCATTGTTCGTTTTAGGTAGTGGGACTTTTATTTACATGGAACGTAATTTAATCCGAGGCTGCATGAGTAGACTTGCTATTACCGCCTATTTATTAATCATGAGATTGTACAGAGCTGCAACTTGACTGCTGTTTGCATATAACATTTTTACAAACTATCTGTCGTTTGTTTTCCGCCACCATGCTAATCCGATAGCAAACAAAAATACTTACGCTAAAAGGTATACTTATTTGGTACGCATGTTCTCTCTTCCTACCTATTTGTTATTGTGTATGAGTTTACTTAGGTTGTGTCAACGTTCTTCATCTACACAATCCCTGCGGGCAATTATCCAGTCAAAGTGAAGATGCTTTACTCGTCTTGCAAGGCCCCTCTCATCAAGGATATCGAAGGGAAAATCGAGATACCGCTAGCGCGGAAGCTCGAACTTGACGATTTGTCCGAACTGAGCGAGCAACGCCTCCTTGATCAGCTGTACCCACGAACCGACGCCAATAAGGGCAAATTCGCCCGTCCAGCGGGTCCCGCAGGACGCCAGGGCGGGCGTCGGCTCGTCAAATAGGAAAGCGCCGGCTGTTGCCACTGCTAGACGCGATCTGCCGCCCACAACAAAAACGAGGAACCCCGTTTGCTTATTCTACTCTTTTTGCAACAACAGAGTTGTAGTTATCGTGCCTGTCTCCTACCTAAGACTGCAATCGATGTAAGATCATACGTTAACGCTTGTCTAAACGCATACGAATCCTTCTCGTCCGAATCCACGTTTTGAAATTCTCCGAACATCTGAGAGAAAACAGTTCTATCAAACTAACAGCAGCAACAGCACCTGGTAGGAGATATTGCAAGGTGAGAAGAGTAGAAAAGCGACAGGGTCTGTGGGTACGCGCCGGGTGCACCATTATGTCATCTGGTCTTCCATAATTGATAACAACAGTAACATTAATACTAAGAATGGTACATAATAGTTATAACAAAAACAATAGCAACACATCATGGATACCTCCGGGTGGGACGACAATCTTTAACTTAGTTAAGAAAGAGAAACAATCAGCGGGTCTGTCAGCCTTTTTGTTGGTAAATCAATCAAAATGTTTAGTTTTTTAATCTAAAGTGTTTTCCTATTTGGCCTTGTGTTGGCTCGCGACCACTTGAGCTTAAATTGAGTGTCCATCTGTCATAGCAGATGTAGAAAAAAAAAATATTGACATTCTAGTAAACGATTCGGAACACGGTCGGTCAGGCTGATTAATTTACTGAAGCGAAGCAAGGTTTAGGTAAAACTAGAAGAAGAGCACAGATTTAACTATTAGTTATAGATGAACATATCCATTGATTCGGTTTGAATTTACAGAATTGATTCAGAAAGGCTTGTTAGCAGAGCTTCATAGGAATCTGGTATGTACACATGTTGCATAGTCCGTGGACAAGGTGAATAACTTATGACACGGCATACAAGAGGATACAATACGATACAGTGCTAGGCATTTTTTAGCTTTTTGTTTATTCTTGTATCCAAAATTAAAAGCGAAAAGATTGCTAAAAATGGAAATAGGGCGGTGATACGCAAACTCGATACCACTCGATTCGTTTTGATATAAACATAAAAATATGATCCTATATATATAACTATATTTATATAATTTATTATGGATAGATAACGGAAAATGGTTACTTGCCTTATAATATTATTGTAATAATTATTATAAAATTTCACTATATAGATGCATATATTCAAGGTTGCTGTACATACAGTAAATGGGAGCGTAATTAACGTATAAGATTATACCAGTGTAGGCTCTTCGTGGTGAATTCAGTTTGCTATACAAAGCGATAATACTTGAATATAGCCGTTTTTTTTTTAAATATTTTTGTTTGATAACAGTAATTAAAGGATGTGGAGTTCGAACATTCAAAAAATGGAGGTCTACTCGTGGGGACCATAATGTTGTGTCGTCAGTAGAGGATGTCGTTCGGTAAAAAAGCCTTTTATCTAGCAAAAAATAGGAACATCTTTGAAAACATTAAGCATATAAATGACCCCAACAAGCAAATGTTACTATATTACAAGCAAGTATTACTATATTATCTTTTTTTTTTTAAATATCAACTTCAGTAACTTCGCGGAGCAGCGAAAGAAACTATAATATCGAATTCATTATTATACTGATGCTTGATGTGTTTACATATGTTTTTGTCTGAGCAATCATATGATTTAGTATGTTATGGTTTCCTTGTGTTCACCGCCCTCTTAACTAGTCTTTTATAACAATGTGTAACGATCGACGGTTATTAATCACTTTTTTTATTAACCAACCAAGTATTGCATTTTCGAAGCTGCTTATGTCGTCCTGCCCGCAAGTAGCAAGAATAAAGCTGGTGTCCCTCAACACTGCACATCATTCACATACAAAGTGATGAAGTACAGACGCAATTGGTTAAAAAAAAGAAATACAGGAACACTCAGCAGACTAATTAAGTCTAATTACTATATCATTTACTTTACTTTACCTCTGTGTGCTCACGCAATTCCACCTACTAAATAGTGTCCGATGCAAATTCTTCAGCTTTCAGTTTTTTTCTTTTTATGTTTACATTCAATTTAGGCAAGGTTCGTATATACTCTGCTGAGAAAAAGATAGCTAGCGTCTTACATCAAACGACCCTGATTGTTTCGGACTTAAGTCCGACATTCTCGTTAGGCTTTCCATCAAATAGCAAGAGACGATATGAGTCTATGTTTGGATTCGAATCTAGGCCACCACGTGTCCCCTAAGATTAGCATGCAAATACTGTACCTATCACGGGGACAACAAGAAAGCCAGAAAGAATTACAAATGTTTGCAACATTTACCTTTTAAATACAATAATACTGAGACCATATCTCACGTTTTTGGTGTCACACTTGGCGTCTCTATCAAATGCACTTTGACTGCCTGTTCGGCATTCATTAGCCTATATCTGCATAAGTTTGTTCTATATTTCCATAGAATCATTGCGTCATATATTTGAAGACCTTGACATGAGAAAAAATATTGCATGAAAATGTAGTGAACTGAAAAGCAATTTGGTTTCCCGTTCATGTTTACTATATACCGCACCCGGTATCGCCTCTAGGCCTTATCTGTACTTTTTTAGATGCACAGAACACTCTTCGTCGGCATTTCCAGTGGCACAGCCTTCCTCCAATAACTTACACACCAACAAAATTCTGCTGTCGTAATTTCATTACGATAGTAGACAGCAGCGTAACGTTTCACAGACTGATTATTTTTGACAAACAATACAAACCACCTGCGTCTATATAATGCCGTAGGCAAAGCCTATACTAATGTCTATAATACATCTACTTATGTAATAGGGAGCAACCCGACACAATGTGATCTTCGCTAATACAAAAAGTAACTATGAACAATAAATAAGTATATATCGATAACAACAACATATTGTTGTCTGTCTGGTCTTAATAGGAACGCACCGACGTTGTTTTTTTTTTTGAAGAACGTTCAAACATAATCAATGAAACGTCGTTCCAAAGACCAGCTTTGTCTGCTCACTTTTACTATAATTAGCAACGCATTTTAAGTTATAGTAAATGGTAATTGCAGAACAGAAACTAAGAAATATCAATGATACAAGTAATGAAAAACCAACAGTAGAGATTGATTGTAATACGGATGAACAGGCGACACCGTTCCGTCGCCCGAATACACATATACCTAACTATATGTTACAGGCACAGATATCACCAACTGATGCGAAAAACAGCAAAAAATAATGTTCGACTTTAGTTCTGCATACTGAATGAGCTGCAATTGTTACGGCTACCACTTACATATTATACAAGTATTTTGTGTACTTTCTTATATCATGTTCTTTTCTTTAGTGAAGGTGAAGTAAATTAAGAGTGAAAGTGATACGCCACAACACAGCGATATTGCTCAGCGCAAAGCGCCGATTATTTAGATGTTATCATCATCATCTAGAATATTCTACTTATGATGATTAGTGTGAATTATAATATATGAATAATTATATGTTAAAAATTTTGCTATGCATAGGATTTATGTATGAACACAGTAAAAAATGGGCAAATACGAATTATGTATGTGCAGAGTGGCTACGGAACCAAACTAGTACAGAATTTGAAGTGAGAGAGTGCAAATGTTAAAATCGTCATTCAAAATTAAAAGTGAGATGATAAGGAGTCCCCAAGTCAATCGCGGCGGCGTTAATCATCAAAATTATGGCCGATTATTTCAATTTTTAGAAGTAAAAACTATTAAAAGTAAAAAGAAAAATCGAACATCCGAAGAGAATGGCGATTTGTAGGGGATGTCATAAGAACCGACGCAATCACTGCCTCAATTAGTGACGACAAATTAATCAACTGTACGCTAAGTCATGTCTCATAGAAAGGTGAATGGAAAGGAAACGTCATTAAATAAAAAAGATGCTTCCTTATGATGATAAAATATATTAATAAATAAAACATCATTTGAAATCCCCTTTCATTGGCGCTTGTCGTTGCATTTTTGTTTAGGTAAAATGCATCGCTATAATTCGTGGCAGGTTTAACGAATGAAGACGTTTCATCCGAAAAGATCGCTGCGTTTGTAACAGTTACATTCGATCAAGCTCATTCATAGCCATATCGTACATTGACTAATAACTGCACATACATTACAGATGTTGTTTTTAATTTTCGACTTCACCGTTCATTTATGTGTACCATAAATTCATACACACTACTTGTTCATCAATAAAATCAACCATGCAAATATCTAAAATGTATAACCTGTGCAAATATAAATAAAATCAAATAAAAAGCCGTGCAAATATATAAAGGCCAGGAAATTGAGTTTCCTCAACATTAGGGCAGGTACTAAGGTAATCGCTTGTAAAGACGACAGTGAAAAAATATAACAAAAAAAGCAAGGAAAACAAATAATTTTCTTTAACTCAGTCGAAAGCTCTGATCATATCAAACCATTAAATACAGTGCTGCAGAAGACATGTTTGAAAGAAAAGGCATTAAGAAGAAATCTAGCATATTTCTGTAGCCACGACGTGAGTCACTTTTATGTCAATAATTACATCAAACTACGTTTCATACCTGCTGGTTTTCACTACATTTTTGGATGTCCAATAAAATAAAGGTTGTTATTTATGAACTCACCATATATCTCATCAAGAAGTCCTTCGTATGTAAGTTGAGTTGCCAGTGGACTGAGAAGGTCGACGGAGCGATCGAAAAGGAACAGTGTGTCAATCTGCGACACCGCCGGACTTTCTTTTCCCGATAGCTCCTTCCTGTAGCAGATAAAGTAGACACGTATGTTAAAGCGATCTGTTACTGGTCGGTTTTTACAACTACCAAACAGATTCTTAAGAGTTAAATAAAGAGGCTTAAAAGCACAGGGAATGCTTATAAGTCAAGAGTCCTGGGACAAAGGGAAGAAAGAATACACATTGCATGTCACTGTAACCTAATCAATACTAAATAAGGTGCGTACTCACCTGAGCCGTAGCATAAGCTGGAACACTCGCTGAGCTAAAGGTCCTTTACCCCTCACGTTGGGTACCACGCCAAAAAGACTTTGTAGCATCCCAACAGCGCGGGCAACTGCCAACAATTGCCGATGGTCATTATCTATGATGCACTCCTGCATTTCCAAAAGAATATTCTGGGATAATTCGCTGGCCAGTAATAATTAATAAATTTAAAAATTTATTTATTACGGATGTTGTTGAAATATTGAAATTTAACACCCGAATTAAACACCTAGAACGCTTTTATTCATTTGTGTTATGGTGATTCTTTAGGGTCCGATTTTGCTGTTTTTACCGGTTGATAAAATTGGTGAAAATAATTAAAATAAGTGAACAAGCTTTTTGGAAGGTTTCAGACTTTTATCGTGCTATTTATTTTGATTTTCGTTGTTTAAGAAGCTCTTTCTACACTTACTTCTGTATGAGTTCTTTATTTCATTTTTTTTCATATTCTTCATCATTATTTCATTTTTAAAATCAGTCATAACTTTAGACGCTCGCAAACCAGACTCTGTTGTTTTGTAATATATCATAGCTAACTTAGGGGCAAACGACATAAGATCCATTAAACGCTGTATTTCTTGACCTCTGTTTTCAACAAATTTAAGGTCTTTAACGAGCTGCATCTTCAGTTGTATACTTAATTTAATCAACTAATAGTCAGAGAAAACTATTTTAACAGCAGTTTATATCGTAATGAAAACCGAAAAAATTTCGGAATGGTGTAAGTTATTCAATCATGGGTGCTAAGTTAAGCCAGACACTAAATTTGTGGGGAAAATGAAAGGTAACTCTTAAATAATGTTTATTTTGATAGAAGCTCGGCCAACTCTAGCCCTGGAGTCTTACATAAAACAAAAAAATGTATGCTATGAGGCACTTATGTGTAGACTATACGTGCCAAAAGTCAGAAAATGACCCATGATAAACGACTCGACGGTAGCTGAAATACTGGCTTTAGTTTAGATCCTCTCAACACATCCCACCTTTTTGTATCAAAAATGAAAATTGTATCAAAAAAACACCTGATTTGCAACACAAGACGAAAAATATGTTAGATTTTACAGTTAATATGAATTTATTAACTGTATTGGGAATGAGTTTTTGTTCCTTAAACTGGGCATCTGCATCTTTTCATTAACTCGTATTTTACTTCGAAAAAACAGACTGTAAAATCGTCCCTAAATTGATAACCACTTGTGAAAGCGAATAGCAAAAAAACAAAATGTTCTATATGTTACGTACACATAATACCTCATAAGGTTTTCCTTCCAAAAAAAAATATATATACACATAAAAATACTTTGATTCGATATTTTTTACTCACTCGAAACAAATTTTCAAGGCCCATTGACATCAGATCCGAGTCCAAGGGAAACACCTCGACGAGTAACTGGTGAATTTGTATCGAGCCTAGGACACCGTATTGCTCCAGACGTTGCCGGCAGAGATATGAATCTCGGGGTACAAATATAATGTGGAAAGAGATGTCAGATGATGAACTGCAACCCCGATGTGTCCTATAATAAAAGAATAGGTGAAATCATGGAGTATATCAGATGCATTCTGAAGAGTGTGCTTTTGAATTATTGCTGAAAATATTCACATTGTTCGAAAAGGCTTTTTATCATAGCCAAGACTCATGTTATTCTTAGTAATAAGAGCAAAGCTGAGTAGAAGTAGGCAAATTTTTGCGAAATAAAAATACACGCATAACATTTTGAATGAGAATAACGGCTTCAAATATAAATAAAGGTTTAAGAAATTCGTTGATTCATATAACTATCCACCTAATATATTCCCAGATTCACTTGTTGTACTCGTCACTGAAAATGAGTGTGAAAAGAACTGTAACTAAATGTTTGCCAGTTTTTTTGCTTTAAAATCAATATCTGCATCTATCGATGTGTCAACTGTTTTATTTGACTTTACAAAAATCGCTTTTTTTTTGGACTGTTGTTTACAACTTTTTCCCCTGCTGACCTTTATACCGAAAGCTGGATATATACCGTTTTACGCAATCAGCGATCACGTCCATGTGGCGCAGCTGGGGTCTAATCAGGAAGATGATATTTCGCGCCTGTGTTGTCAAATTCATCCCGGGGATCACTGATCGGATCGTTTGGTTCACACCCTTCATCTAAAACCAATTGTGAGAACATAAATGTCTCAACGCTCAATGCATATTGATATTAATTTGGAAAGCAGATAGTTCTCACCGGGTAGCTTGTAGAATAATAAACTTTCGTTGAAGAACTCTTATTATGATATTTGTCCTGCTTCTCTAAGAAAAATGTACACATTTCACAAATCTACATACAAAGTAGCTTCAGTTTGCTGTTAGCTGAATTGGACACTGCTCTAGTAGAGTAAGAACTACACAACTGATTATGTATCCAAGTGACACCACGTCTAACCGGTAATCAGACCGGCTGATAACCTTAATAATAATCGATTTAGCTCGTTTTCTGTATAATCATATACCATTTGATTTTTACGCCTGCTTTTAGTGCATTTCGTCGGCAAGACACGAACCTTGAGTACTTGCATTTCGACTATTGTGGAGGACGGTCCCGTCAGTTCATCGTCTCGAACTAGGCATTTCGACCCTTCAATTGAGTCTAAGATCGAAAGCATGTCCCTCAGGTAACTCTCGCGGATTTGGCCGAGGTTGAGTCGTCCGCTCAAGTGAGTACTAGTAGCTAAGAAGATAAATGAAAAAAGACAGATCTCATATTTGTTTGTGAACCTTGCGTTCTTAAGAATTGTAATTGTACTGTTGTATTGTTATAACACCACTCACAACGCAACATTGACAAACTGAAACACTTGCGATGATTGATACTCATGAAGCGATCTGAGGTCGTAAAAGTGTTTTTATTTAGAGCATAATATCTAATATCCATGGTTTTCGCTAAAATAGCTATCCTTGGCCTCTTACAGGCAGGGACTTAGCTCAAAAGCCACAGAACAGGTAGTGTTTATGAAAACATTTACTTGACTTTCAGTATAAAGATATATACCTTAACTATTATAACAGTGATGAAAAATTGTTCTGTATATAATTCTGTATATATAAAATCTGTTCTTCATATATATAATATGAAGTATTAAATGCTTCCAGTGTGACATCCGGTACTTGATTCGGTAGGCATTGTTTCAGACATTTAATAGTGGAATAAACGGTTCATTACGATCACACAATTTTGTGCAAACATGCTTTCAAATATGTTCCATGAGCTCGCTATTTAGGAACCAGATTACAACAATGTTAAGATAGTGATTTAGCCATTGGCGACATAACACTTAAAGACACGCGGCTCCCGTACTGCCTCCTTTTCGTGTGCAACCAAGTTAATGAAATTGTACTGTTGTGATGAACACAGTATTGGCCGACACAGATTACACATATTAACTAGACCCGCTGGTTCCAGCCCTATACACTATCCATAGAATTCAACCTATGCTGATGAAAACTGAATAAGTAGGACAAATAATTGTTTTTTTTTCAGTTAATGAGTTTATTTTTTTCACTTCAAGTACCTCCATAATAAATTTACAAAAGTCGTAAGTGCAGTTCACCACAATAAGCGCTATAAACAATTGCAGTCTCAAGCGGACAACTAACACTGGTATCCTCAGCTGATCGACAAAGGGTTTTTCGAAATCTAAAATAATGGCCATTCTTTTTAAAAGCTGAAGTGCCAAGATTTAATTGACTTTGGAACTATAACTGTTAATCTGATGAAAGTGTGAACCTTAGTAACTGTTTAAATGTGTGTCGTGGCGGTGGACCCGAGTGGTGGGCAAGAGACGGTGTGTCAAAGTTTGTTTGGGAGAACTGATACGTGAATTTTAGGTATGTGTTCCGATATTTGATGTATTTTTACTCACTTTTTCGCAATATACTCGTTAACTCATTTGGAATGAAAAAATTAATGTCACTGGTGTTGGAAGTTTCAATGAAAAGCGATTTGTAGGCGGTAGACATGAGGGTGCTTTTGCGATGTCAAAGATCGGTTAATACTAAGGAAGCTTGGACATATTCGCCAAGATGCAACTCTGGCTCAGCGACTGTTGATGCGCTTGCAGCTTTGTTCGGGTTTCTATATCTACGACCATAATTAGGAATCACGTTACGAACGTACCGGGCTATCTAAGGCTACATAATTTGTAGATAATTTTTCCTAGTTCAAAAATGATTGTTATAAAGGTGGTTCAAGATGTAAACTAATTGTGGTTATCTACTAAGTTGACTACTTGTATTGGATTCTTTGCACTTATTGCGTCATAGATAAGACAATGTCAGTGCTAAATTGAGAGAAAACTCGAGCCACCATTTTTGTAAGTTTGTTTAATTTAGGCTGTCAAAAAGACATGTTTCGGCATCTGGTAAGCTTATTTAAAAATATTATTGCATGAGAATGTTACTTTTGATTAGTCAAACTTCTTTCTGCTTAAACAAATTTAATAGTCTATTTGCACAGAACTTAACACTGATAGGGAATAGGGTATGCTAATTTACTTTACACTCAACTGCATAATATTAATATATTTTATATTTATTTTCATTCTAAACTTTCAATATTCTGGGCTTCCTGTTCACAGAAAAATCGGATGAAGTATGTCCCGGGGGCGTGAATTACAGAATGGCGCGATACAGACTTCCTAGTAATGAACAAACAGATTTGTTAGCCACTGAATTTCGCAGAATAGTTTATGGGAAACCAACTTGCCACTTTTTTGGCACCCACGGCGTTCAACTTACTCATTATGCGCTTGTAGACGTCGGCGAGCCTTTTCTCAAAGAGAGCAACTTAAGCAGACCTAACACAGGGTAAATACGCACGTACTGAAGTAAAAACTCGGTCATAGATGTCCAGCTCATTAATCTATAGAGAAGTTTCTGCCACCACCAAAAAGCAGATTACTGTGGACTTCCACACTCAGGTCATAACCAGTCACTTAGATCAACTTAAAACCAAATCGAATCCGTTTGGAAGGCCCTGTAAAACTCCACTGTGTCTGTGTTTCACATTCCTTCCGATAACTTCCTCGCACTACAAACACGACTTTGATTCAGACTCTAACACGTTTTCTCTTAGCGCTTAATTCGATCTACTTTCTGTTGCTAATTAACGCTAGGTTAACAGAATGATACGGCACTGAACGATGCATGAAACGCCGACCAATCCCGACCAGCTGATCGACGTCGACCGCGTTTTTGTTAGTAAACAGTGAGCCGTCATGGGGCGCGAGTGCGGCGGCGTGATACAGCGCGGGCCCCCCTGAATGTAGAGAAAGGGAAGGAGAGAAACAGAAAGCGAGTGTGGATCTTTGTTGAGTTGACCGTGTGACCGTAGTTGGCTCTGATATTTCCTCTGGTCTGTTTACAGAGCAGAGAGCTTACATGCCCCTGTGACGGGGCTTGCACCGACACACCCACCATCTAGACTGGGTTAGAAGCAGCAGCAGTAGCAGCAACACATTGTAGTGCTAGTTTCGGTGATCGAGGTAGTCGCTCGTTTCTCATGACTATTTAAAGAGGTTTGCCATTTGCTGCCATTATGTGCAATCCATACGCTTAAGTTGTACGCAACGAAACTTTAATCTAGGTGTTACCACGCGAAGCCAGTGGTAACTTGGTAGTTAACGGTGCGCTGCTCAACGCGAGGGCATCGCTGTCACGAAAGTCGATCGAGATCCGTTGACGGATCTAGTTGACGTCAGAGGTGCAGCCATCGGGAGTTGGTTAGTCACTATATACTGGACTACTACCACAGAGTTTGGTGGTCGGGTGTCTGGTGGTTACAGGAGAAAGACGGCAGAGCTCTCAGCTGCTGCTGTGACTTCCTGCTATTCGCTCCAATCGTGGCTGGTGATACTGTGCGTGCTGCAGCTGTTGTTGGTGATGCCGTTGAAGCTGTGATAGTGGCCGTGGTACTTGCAAAGTGTAGTGACGGCTCCAGCCGAGTAAGAGAGGAGGTTTGCACGCTTACTTATCTGTCGAAGTAACCAGAGACTTTGAATGATGCTAGATTAATGATCAGAGTCCAGTTGTCCGGGCTGGTTGTCAACTGATGGTAGACTCGTGACGATTATGCTTTGCTCTTTTGTTGTCGTGGTTGTCCAGTCGTTACTAACAGTTGGTGATTGACCGTTGCTACCAGTTGCCAGCAGTTCCCTGCAGTGTGATAGGCGGAGAACGAGTGAGAGTGGATTTAATGAAGCAGGGGGAATAAGTAAGAAGTAACGGTGTGGTCCGCTTTTGTCTATTAGCTGATCAGCTAATAGTTGATTTTGTCACTGTTTGTTCCCTGTCTATTGTTGCCCCTGTTGTGTGCTTGTCCGAACGAGGCGCGCGTATTCCAACGAAACCGGCAACAACGACAACGGCAACAGCATCTCACGCACGACACGGCAAGGCAGGCTAGACACAAACGGCGTGTTAGTGGCGGCAAACACCATAAAGCAGAGACCGACTGAATGGATACCGAGGAGGTAGCAGCACCAGCTCCATCTCAACCCATCGTGGCTCGGAACCGTCTCATCGGAGTATTCCGAAATAAGTCAGAGACGAATGACGGCGCCGGACCGCCTAAAGAAACTCACGCTTTTGAGCAAGTCGAGGTGTCTGATCGACTATTGAAGACTGTTAAAAAAGAGGTAAGAACAAAGAATAGCTTCATGATAGAGTAGAGTTTAAATATAAGAGAACGCGTTATAAGAATCTGGCGCATGGCAGCGGCAAGAGTACTAAATACATGCAACTTAGCGAAACACGTTATCAATGGAATGAAACCTCGTATAATAATCATAATATCACTCGACACCATTATTTTGTTCACCAGCTTTGCCGTAGTAGTATTGTTTAAATGCATGATGACAGTAAACGTGTATAAGATAAGGATGATTTCTGATAGTAGATACTATAAGTTCCATTACATCTAGGGGTGTAAGCGTCCCGCCCGACAGGGGCCCGAAAATCAACAGATCGGAATAGTGGAAGGGAGAGAAAAGAGAGGGTAGGTAAAATCAGGTAGGTAGAATGATGGCAGGGAGTGCTATGGGCTATTGTATAAAATAAGTAGTGCAATATTTTATGACAGGATCAAATGGGCTGTGGAAGTTTTTATGGTTGCAATTTTTCTTTCTGACGCGTCTGCTTACAAACATATGTTAGAGTGCAATAGGATTCAGTTAGACTCGTTTGTCCTAACTGATACCTAAATGACTAAATGATGATACTTCAACGAAAACGATACTAATAAAAATCGATGTGAAGCAAAAGCCTATCTCATGTACATATTCCCCCCCCCCCCCACCGCCCCCGCCACACAAACTCGAAAAGTTCTTGTTTTCATTTCTTCTGTGCTACATTTGATGTCTGAGTATATTTCCTAAGCCGAGCACATCTTTTTCCTCTCCGATCTATACGTCTATAGGAAATAGAGGCACAGTGTTATTGACGCACAGCTGTCAACGGAGGTAGTCCTTCAGCAGCTACTAGGCAAAGCATTAGACTACACCTACATTCCTGGCCTGACCTATCGTTTTTTCATTTTTTATATACAAGGGATTAATCTATCCGTACTGTATACAAAATGAATAATATGTCACTTGGTGGCCCGCTTGCTTATTTGAAAGAGTAAGAAAAAATTATGATAAGATATAATTGTGGGGAAGGCACTAGCGCAAAAATTGACGTAATTGGAATTCCTGTACTGACAGTATAGGCCAGCGTCGGCTTCGCCACTATCACTGGCTGATCTTTTCCGCTGTGAAAGGTCAACAAAAACCTGGGCGGTCATTGACCGAGATGACTGACCAAATAAGATGCCTTTCTATAACAAATTGAAAAACTCCGTAGATGAATTCACTTTAAAGTAGAACTATGTTTATGTTTGCATTAATGTGCTTGATCCCCTATATCTCTGCGCAGCCAATAAAACAGCTTGCGGCGTGATATGGCTAATATAATGGGAGGGCTAAGGCCCAATCTCGATGGCTGCAACAAGTGGTCGGTACTCGCGTGTGTGGGACGAGGTGGGCCTGTATGTATGCAGGATTGTGCCTTTGGATCTCCTTTCTTTGAGCCTAATATGCTGCGAGAGACTGCTCAGTAACAGGAGTTCATGCACGTAAAAGGATTGTGTTGAGGAGCACGAGGTCCGAGAGTCAAGGGCGGTTTAATGGTAGAGGCAAGAGGACGCTAAAGGGCTATGTCCTTACTGATTAAATCTCTCGTGACCGTTGTTCCAGAGGGCTAGAGGATTATCAAATATAATTAGCATAAATAGCGGAGCAAATTGAAAGGGAGTAGGAGCTACAAAGCTCCGCTGAGCGGTAATTGAAGACAATGATTTCGCAACGAAAAAGCTTGATTCTGCTCACTACAAATCAAGGAATAAGGTCAAAAGTAACGAGTGGTGATAGGCGATATTGCTACATGTTGAATTGCTAGTGGCGATGGTTAAAAACCAAAATACTGCGGAAAACTTGTTTTCAGGTAAAGCAAATTATGGAAGAGGCCGTTACACGCAAATTCGTCCACGAGGAAAGCAGTACCATAACTTCGCTGTGTGGTAAGTAAAAATAGTACTATTATCAAAATAAACAGTGGTCATTTTTTATTATTTACAGCAATTAATCGCTTAAACACAAAACTTTTTTACTGGTTTATTAGGTTTGCTTCCGTTACATATTCAGTGTTTTGCTTTTTGCTTCCTATAAAATGACGAGTGCGTGGAAGAGAGGTACGTACAGGCCTACGTACTTTTTAACATCCTTCTATCCTACTCAGGAAACTGGAATGAAATCTATTCCAGGAAAAAAAGATATATATATATATATATATATATATATATATATATATTGAAAAAAAAGATATATATATATATTTTTTTAATTTTATTTCAACTTTTCATCTACTTCTCCCTACATGCTGCGTGTCTATACACTAGTCCTTCTTATGATCCATACAAAACGATGTTTACAGTTTCCGTACATCTCGTTCTAATAGCAAAATTAATGCGCTAAGTCGTACGCCCAATAGCAGGTTTTCCATGGAGGCAACCAAAGAACTTGCTTCAGAACAAGAAATTGCACCTAGTCTATACCTAAAAATTCATATAGAAAGCTAAGATTCACGTTGGGGCTATAAGTTTTGTTATGAATGTAAATTGTATTTGGAAATTGGAAAGCAGAGCGATGCTTGCATAAAGAAAGCTAAAAAAAGTAGGTTCCCATAACACTTTTATAGGCATATATAGATGTGAGACAAAATGTCCATGTGCTGGAAGAATACCAATAGCACAACATATATAAGTCTGACAAATTATGATTTTTGCATGTTGACTAAAACGTGTTTTTTTTTTAATTTAGAAAAGTAACTTCTGAAGCATACAGCCTTTCTACGCCAATAAATCATGCTAGTTATCAGAAAGAACAGTCGCAACATGTTTGCAAAACGCTGACGTGCAAATATTGCACACAATATTTTTTTTCGATTAGTAGGACCAGCACCTTTCGTGCTGGTCCTACTAATCGTTGAAGGAGATGTAGCATACCAGAGAATAAGTAATTAAATAAAATTCACGCCCTGCTTGTGAATTCACATTCGATGACATATATATATATATATATATATATTCCGAAACTACGATAGTTGTATCATTTTCTGGATGGTCAAGCTGGCTTTGGAGAACAGTGCGCATATTGTTACCGTTCCTTCTCGCTTCTCGAGCGAATATGTCAGTATCTAGACCAATCTAACCCGAGTTTTCCATTAAAATATATGGCCGACGAGTCATTACTTTTGATTTGTCTAACCTGCGAATAAGCTATTATAAGGTGTTGTCTTCCTTGATATCATGAAAAATAGCTTTTTCCCTTTAGCTTCGCCGAATAACTGACTTCTTTACACAAAATAATTTGTTGTTTATATAGCCTCATCCTTAGCCCATACCGTAGGACCAGTTGCTTTCAATACAATTATTAAATAAACGTTGGCCCGTGTAGTTCCACCCTTTATCTATATATAGTGCAATGTGGTAATCTTTAGCGATGTGCACTCACCGAATTATTACCGTGTAGATAGCTTGCCGCGAGGCGAACTCAATTTTGTAGTCTCGAGTGTTTTAGTGCATTTCAGCTGTTTTGATGATACTGGTTTTTAACTTTATTTACACAATTCGTCCATATACATGCTTTTTACACTAAACTGCTAGTTATTTTTCAGCCGCTGTGGATGCTTGTCTCTCACACGGACTTCGTCGTCGAGCACTCGGCTTATTTAAAACAAACTCGACCACGGCCCTTCTCCAGAAAATTGCAAAGAGCTTTCCTCCAGCATTTGAAGTGGTGCAGATCGTTGAACGCATTGAACATATCCAGGATGGTAACAAGTAAGTGAAATTTATAGTGTTAGCGCTCGCCCAAACATTAGGCAAGACTATAGAGCAGCCGTCTAAGACAAAATTATCGCAACGATGAACAATAGTCAGGAATAAACTCTATAGATGTAGAAATAGTTTTTGCATGTTTGCTCGGCAGTGTGTGGTACGAGGAAACAATTGGGAAATAATAATAGTAACAATGCTCGTTATTGCGTACGTTGCTTATAAGGTATTTTTTGTTATTGCATTGTTCTTGATAATACTACACGGTAGATGTGTTCTAATTTGAAATCATATGGTTACAATGGACATGTATACTCGGGTCGCATAGTCTGTATAATACGTCTATACGATAACGTTGTTTACATGCATCTTATACTGTGTCACGATTTTTGTGCTTACGACTAAGGTTAAAATAGATGTAGGTGCCATGGATTGTAGGAGCTTTGCTTATACGTAATCACGCAACCTTTATCAGTATGCATAATATATCTATATAAATGACTTTTTACGTTATACATTTTTTGCGGTTAACAGGATTTTAAATGACAGTATCTTTGCCTTCAAAACTTGAACAATCATACCTGAAGGCGAAATTCGCATTATTTAAGGCCGATTCCAAAGTATATAATGGGTTACCACAATTTTTTTTAAGAGTGTGCCCCTCTGTTATTTATTTTTCGAATCACAGTTCATTATGGATACTAAATTATACTTTGTATCGTTTAAGCCATTCAAAAAGTACTTGTATGCTGTTAACTCTTCTTTTATAAAGTATTTTATTGTATTGTATAATATCTGATTGTGTTGTTGTCGGTCGAGAATTCAGCTCAACTGTACTTGTTGTGTCTGAAATGGACGCTGAGCTAACAATTCTATCGATGAAGCAACGCTTAATTGTACTTAAATCAAACAACGTTACTGTATCTTTGTCGTTCGATTAAGTTCCGTATAATTCTCAGACTAGATAAACAGATTTTTGCAGGGTGCTTTCGATCGAGTAAATTAGTCTACAGAAAAGGAATTCCTCTGAGCTTGGTATCTAAGGCTTTTACGTCCGGTCACTAGTTTTCTTACTTTCCGTCCAAAAATCTATAAAAACTGCACAGATGGAATCGACGGCAATCGGCGACGCCATCTTATTTGGCGTAACTACTATTCGGTGAGAAAATTCTCAACGAGAAATACCTGTCTATTTAGTGTGTTTTTCATGAAACTGAATTGCTCATTATATATACAGAGTTCAAGGTTGAGACGCTTATCGTTCGCCTGATTTAATTTTTTGAATAGTTTGTTTTTAACAACAGAATCATAACGGTGTCAACCTCGGTGCCAATTTTATGATTTATTGTTTAGATGTTCCACGTTTCTGAAGTCAGATTCCGCTCTGGTTTTGCGCGATTCGACCGATCACATCGTAAGTATGAGACAACCGGAGATCATAATGTTGTCTAAATCGACGGATTTCCGACGCAAAAAACAATTCTTCTTAATCCGATCGACATTGACACAGTTGCAAAGTAACCCTAGCATAAAACTTATTGATTTTGAGCTGCGAAACGTATCGGTGTCTATGCTAGTACTAACACCCAACTACTAGTTCATCGGGTGAAGGCGATCATACGAAATGCTCCGAGTTGTCGGGTATAATTTAGGCAGTAGACGTACACACATTCTGTCATATCCTTAAACGAATTCTCAAAGTTAGGCGATGTACGGCCCTTGAAGTTGCTATCACTTGACTTCTAAATTGGCTTCCAAATTAAACCCAGATAGCTCTCTCACGGCGTACTGGTAGTTTAGCCATCCTTATTACGCCCACAACATTCACGGTTAATTATGCCAGTTTCACGTTATCGACAGCCGCTTGGATCTGTTTCTGTCCTTAACAAAGATTAATAACTTTAACGATTAACATACATTTGAACTGATAAACGTACCTACTACAACTAGCTAACTGCCTAGAGATGATTTTCATTATTATTACTACCACTATTACTTTCATCAACATCACAGCCTATCATAGAATAATCGTATACTTAGTATAATCGTATAGCTTTTTAACCCTCTAATATGTTTTAGTAGTCGTTATTAGCAGTCGTCACATAATTTCTACGTAACTAACATTTGTGTTCAAATTCTACTCTTATTTAAACACGCTTCTATTACGCCAATTACTACTGCAGAAAATTATGGAATATTTTTTTGCAAAACACCGCTATATATATATATATATATATGCTCACAACTATACACCTTTGCTATAGTTCTTCGGCATCAAACTTGGCTCGCAAAAGCTTTTGACGCCGCCATCCTATGCTTGACCAGGGTCCATTGTGGTAGCAGCCAATTTCATGTGCCTATCTGGTGACCAAGCACGTCTCTGATACAGCGAGGCAAACGTACAAGACGATTTCATAGCAACTGCATACACAGTTAACTTTTTTTTCGCTATCGAACCAATGACCGCCCATAACTGCGAACATCGATAGTAGTTCACCACATACAATTTATTTATTCAAATATATAACAACATTTTCCGCACACTTGCTGCAGGCATTTTCATCTAAAGGTTGCACTTACTTAAATTTGCGTATCCCCACCGGTATGAGTTGAATATGCTTTCTGTATAGATCAAGAATTGTACACCTTGCCATGGGTTTTGTTAATTAGCTGTCATATTAACATTGCGTTGTCTTGCAGAAGTTGTCATAAATTTCGGCTGGTTCAAAATAAAAATGAATGGCTTTCTCCTCTGATATCTGAGTAGTATCAGTACGACCATCGCAACCCTATTAACTCTAAATATTAGTCATTCAGGATGTTTTGAAGAAGCCCCGGTAAACATTGAAAAAGTGTGATTCTTTTACAGTTTTCTTCTCCATCTGCCATCTTCATTGTTTAATAAATCAGTTGAGAAAAACAATATATGTATTATATAGATTTACCACTCTATAGATGGTCGATATCTTCACTTAACTGCTGTGGGCAATTCAAATAAATTAAATAAAGTTATTTGTAAGCAATTCGTTTCAATGTATCGCAGATTTTTTTTAATGATAATTTCTATGGTTTGCTAATAACTGCGTTACAGCAACTTTCGAATGTCAGAATTAACTGGTATTACAGTCTCACGCAAAATGTCTACTTTTTTCCGACGTTCCTTCGATCATCACGCCAGGAATCTAGTCGTATGACGACGCTCGTTACGATTCACTCGTCTGGATCAACAGTCCGATGATTCGGGGCACCATAAATACGAAAACATAGCAAAGGATGAGACTGGTCGAGAGCGCAACAAAATTGAAAACTTTCCTTTCCCATGGCTCAAGCATGTAAATAGCAGTTAGCAGCTCCCACTGAAGGTATAGCCATTTTAAGCGGCCCGTAATTGAATTATCGAAGTACTCAGGCATCTGCAAACGGAACAAACCGTTAAAAATGAATAAATGACTAAGCACAAGGCCCAGAAATTATACAATGAATATACTAAAAAGCTCCCCCACCAAAATATACTCTTCATAGACGCAATTGGAGGCACGAACGTACATCCATTTTGCAGTGCTCTTAAATGATAATTATTTAGTGAACGCATTCGATTTCATGTAATAACGAATGGGAAAAATAACGGTATGTAATTTTAGAAAATTTCCAAATAATTGATAAGAATTGCAGTACGACATATATATATATATATATATATATATATATAGACGCAGATTATCGTCATACATAGGCAGCATTGTTGATGACCTGAAATGCACAGCTTAGCCAGAATGAAATATCAAATTTAAGGAACGGATATTGAATATTAGGATATTTTTGAAGATAATTATAGCTTAAATGTTGAAGACTCAAATCTACTCCGTTTTTTTTACGTATACAGGTTATTACATATTGTTTTATCGACGGTCCATATATCAAGTATAGCAGACCATTACCTCGAAGTTGTTCGGTCCAGTATTTTCAAACCAGATCACAGCCGATATGAGCCAAGGTGATAATTTGATCGCATGACTTAGCAATAGGATGCGATTATCCATAACATCAAACGTAATTCTATTAAACATTCAAATTGTGTAAAACTCTTCTTGAAGTTCATAGAAGCCGTGTTGTTTACAGATAAACATTGCCTAATGTGATGGCTAATGAACCTCTATAATGCTATTAGTTACCAATCTTTTTCTTGGTTTCACCCAACAGTTACAGTGGTGGTTACGTTGGATAACATCTACAGTCGCATTTTCATTCGGTGTGAGCATAAATGCCGCTTGACACGACTCGGTTCGACTATTGTTATAAAAAATTCTATATAGCCACAGCCCTGTAATTCGTTTATTTATTATATGTGCTGATTTCTACAATATAACAAGTCTGAAGAAAGTTAAAACCGTTCAAAAACCAAAGAAATATCCTGACCAGTTCTAACCTGGATACCGATACCGTTCGCTCTAAGCACTACATAGAGTACGTTCCTTCTTGCACTTCACAAAAATCTTCTGATATAGAAACAACTGAAAAAAAGCTAAGTTTGTATTTAGGGAAACAATAAAAAAATCAAAAATGGAAAAAATATTTTGCACTTTATTTTAGTATCAATTGTAATGATTATTATTAGACCGGGGCTCACGCTTGTTGAAACAAGAGGAAAGTTTTGCACTTAAGGACCATGGATAATAATATCCCTCATTATAACATTTCAATACTATACAACACTACATACAACTCTATTCGGTCTACGAAGCATATTTTTTAACAGTCTTTCCTATTTGTGAAACATGAGAATAGACGACCTCCTTCATTTGTGTGAAATACGAATTTATGATTGACATTTTCAACATACAAATAACGGCGCCATAGTGGACGACAGTATTATCTATAAACTCCAGCGAACTAGCTTTCTATAACTCGGTCAGTCTTCGGTCATATACAATTATTTCTGTATAGTATCGTCAAAAGGTGCTTCCTGAGCCCCGTAAGTGATTAATGCCGTACAGTGTGCAAATTTT